TTGTGCCTGATGTACCGTCGTGGTGCAGTTTACATTTGCGCTCAATTTTGCAAAATATTAGCATAGGTTTATTCTGTCAGCTCGTTCGGCTGGCCGGGCTCCTCTGACTGTCTTGTGGATGTCTGTCCCCCATTCACAGGTGACCAGCGCCGTGCTGAAGCTGATCCAGCGGGAGCGGAACGGCGAGACCATCAACACGCGGCTCGTCAGCGGCGTCATCAACAGCTATGTCGAGCTGGGTACGCATCGAATGCATTTTATCGATCGCGCCGCGTAGTATAATGCGCAGCGTCCGTGACCGCTATGTGATATTTAGTGGCGGCTACCTGCTCTGTGTATGGAAGACAGGAAAAGGATTAACTTACAGTTAATCGTTATCGGCTTTGAAGGTTCTTCCCCGAGGCTTATTATGGCAAATCTACCTTGCATCACATTGCTATATTTGAATATAAGGCTGTCCTTTCTTAGATACAGCTGATGATTTACTCCACTTGAACCTTTTCACTTCCACCGCATGTTGTCTGATTTTCCGTCATCCTTTCCCAGGTCTCAAAGACGAGGACTCGGTGTCCAAGGGCGTCAACCTCACCGTGTACTGCGACTCGTTCGAGAAGCAGTTCCTGGAGGACACTGAGCGCTACTACATCCGTGAGAGCACCGAGTTCATCAGTCAGAACCCCATCACAGAGTACCTGCGAAAGGTGAGAGACACGTGGGGCAGTTACCAGCTTTGGGGCTGGCGCAGTGACGGATTCCTCCCCACAGTGACCGAATGGCGTGCTCAATGTGGGGAGTAATGTGGGTGCGTGTGCGGTTAGAGCAAAGCGATCGCTTGGCGTACGTCATTGTGATTCTTGAAAACTAAGGGTATGTCTCACCGACGCATCATCATCATCATCATCATCATCACTTCGTTTATTGATCAAGGCATGCAAAAATAAAGTTGAGCACCATGCACGCACCATGAGTTCGCCTTGACCATCCCGCCCTGGTCTGACCTTGGTGCCCGTCGATCGCCCGCAGGCGGAGACGCGGCTACAGGAGGAGCAGCGGCGCGTCCAGCTCTACCTCCACGAGAGCACGCACGACAAGCTGGCCAAGACGTGCGAGCGGGTGCTGATCCAGCGCCGGCTCGAGACGCTGCACACCGAGTTCCAGAACCTGCTGAACGACGACAAGAACGAGGACCTGGAGCGGATGTTCGGACTCGTGTCACGGTACGTCGGTCGGGAGGGTGTCGGCCTGGTCTGGTACTCCGACCAGGACGTACCAGACCTGGCGGCGTCCTACCCCAGTACCAGTCCAGCTGAAGTTCTTGTCCTGTCTGACACGTCATATATTATGCACTGACTAGTCTGTGTCGTTCCTGTACTATCTCTATTCCTTACCGTCGTGTGATATCATATCTTTTTTCACCCGGATGTAGATTACTTATTCACTTTTTGCCCTAGTGCCCATGGCTGGATTGAATGTGTCCATGACTCGATAGAGTGGCTGATGCAACGATAAAGCGAGATGTATTTTTATTGCAAAAGTTATGTTGTGTCTTGCACCTAGTCTCACAACCGACGTAATTGCCTCCATCGTCCGTCGTCGTCACCGTTTGCTTCCAAAGGCCTCCTGTGGGTTCCGCCGCAGCGCTAACGCCCGTGTTCGGTTCCACAGGATAGCGGACGGCCTGAACGAGATGCGCTCCCTGCTGCAGAACCACATTGTCAGCCAGGGCATCCAGGCCATCGAGAAGATCGGCGACGAGGCAGCTAACGTGAGTTCCCGGGGAGTGGGTCAATAGCCAGGGCCACCGGGTGGCAGGGACGCGGTTGGTTGACAGTCCAAAGTGAGAGAGCGGGGAATGATGTGATGGGCTGTGGCAGCTTCCGATTTTCTTTCTGAAATGTACGATTGGTGATGGTGTTTGAATGGAACGTGATTTTAGAGTTTGGCCCGATATCGATTTATTTTGCATATGAATGGGTGGATACTCGTGAACGTGACCTTTCTCGTTATCAAGTACGATTTACTGCATCACTGCCAGCATGTAGGTATTGATCCATATAACACGACAGCAATCATATTGAGACCACATAACGATGAGCGCAGCAATAAACAGACATTAGCAAGATATATATTCTTCGTTTGTTGTTGACGTGGTAGGTGGTAGATAGTTCGATTTCTACTGTATTGTCTCTACTCCTTCGAATATTTTCACGGCTCATCTGTGATCTGTGCAGGCTCAAATGTCATTTATTCTCTGAATTGCAAAATGACGGCCTCTAGCACGACGCGCAGTTCACCCTTCCTCTGGCCTCTGACAGGACCCCAAGGAGTACGTGCAGACCATCCTGAACGTGCAGCGCAAGTACAACGACATGGTGAACGGCGCGTTCAAGGGCGAGGCCGGCTTCATCGCGGCGCTGGACAAGGCCTGCGGCAAGTTCATCAACAACAACCCCATCACAAAGGACGCCAAGTCGTCCAAGAGCCCCGAACTCCTCGCCAGGCAAGTCGCTCACCGAACGAGTTTGGTGGATGAGAATACGTCGGTTATCGCTGTCTGAAGTATGTCTGGTAGAATGATATTTTGGGTACCTTGCTAACATTTCTTTTCGCTTGCTGAGGTCGGAAAACAGAGCTGTACTGCAATAATCAGCTCTTTTCCTGCTAAAAGACGAATCCAGAGCTCAAGTATTTTCTTATTTGAGGCGGCCACCGTGCTTCATCGGTATGCGAATTACGGTGAGACTGTGTTTTTGTTTGCCCGTGCCGCGAAGCGCAATCAGCATTTCCTTACCTTCGACTCGACTTGTTTTATTTTGTTTTCTTCTTATCTCTTGTTTTGTGGACTATTCGCTGGCCAAAGTACAGCCCGCCCTCAGTACTGTGGCCTATGACCGCCACGGTCAGCCGGCGTGTCAGCCCAGACCGGGTCCAATTCCGCCGTCTGTCCGCGGTGGGGCGACGTCTACTCCGACCACCGCACCACGGGGCGGCGGGCGTGTGGGTCGTGAGTTGTCCACTCGTCATTGAGTCGGGACTCGATCACGAGCGAGGCCCGGACCGGTCGGGAGAGGCGCCAGTCGTGACCGCCGGCGGCGCCTGACGTACTGCTCAATACATGGCACTGCGCTGCACAGCACAATGAGCACGGCCAAAAAGGGGGCGAAGAAAGATAATATGAGACTTTGCTCTAAACATACTTGTGTTGCAAAGCTATCCTCCTTCCTTGCCATTGCGTAATGCTGCCTGCATTTAACAATAAGGAATAGGTTCTGTAATTGTCCCCGGTTATGTAATTATCTCCGGTTATGTAATTATCTCCGTGACATACAATGCAGTAGGAATGGGAGTTTAACTCATCGTATCCCCTCGTCCCTCAGATACTGTGATCTGCTGCTGAGGAAGAGTAGCAAAAACCCCGAGGAGAACGAGCTAGAGGATATACTCAACCAAGTGGTCAGTACCTTCCTGTGCTGGTAGAGTGACTGTGTGGAGCACGGGCGGCAGCGCCCTCCTGACACGACGTGATGCGGTTTTAAACAGTCACTTGCGCCAACCAGTGCCTTGTGTACCCGGCAAACAACGGATAATCCAGGGAGGGCTGTTATGTACCGAGGCTTTAGTTCTAGATTAAGATCTGAATCACGAGTAGATCTAACCGGCATGGCTTTCTGTACTTGACCGTGACGTATTTGTCGCTTTTCCTGGAATTATTTCACGTCTTTGCAGCTCATGACCATTACGCTGTTTCACCAAATGTATGAGGGCTGGATGTCTAGAGCCAAAACTCGTCAACAACAAGCCAAATCTCATGTTAGATAGAACATACAGTTCAGTTCCTCGAAGCTCGGGCATTTAACACTTTCTTGCCATCGCGACCACAGATGATCGTCTTCAAGTACATTGAGGACAAGGATGTCTTTCAAACGTTCTACAGCAAGATGCTGGCCAAGCGGCTGGTGCACCAGATATCGGCCAGTGACGACGCCGAGGCCTCGATGATCTCCAAACTGAAGCAGGCCTGCGGATACGAGTACACGAGCAAGCTGCAGCGCATGTTCCAGGTCAGGGCGATGCGGTGCCGGGTACACGGAATGAATGGGGGAGGCATGATTGGCTGTTGCTTCTATGTGTCGTACAGGAGTGCTTGCTTGTTTTCTTATGATGAGTCGTGGTGGCTACCGATATAGCTTAAATTTGCATGAAGTATTATTTGTTGTGCTTTACTGGTTCGCTCAGACGATTGTCATTAATGTCAGCTGGCTAATAGGAATTCTAACTAGATTATTCTCTCTTTATTCCATTCGTGTTTTATAGACCCAATGCTGCTGACCAGTCTCCCCTTTTGACTAAATACTCCATCCGCGGCTGGTTGCAGGACGTGGGCATCTCGAAGGGTTTGAACGAGGAGTTCCGTCGTCGGCTGAACTCTGCGGATGGCGCACACGGCCTGGACCTGGACTTCAGCATCCAGGTGTGCTCGTCGGGCTCGTGGCCGTTCAACCAGTCAGCCACCTTCCTACTGCCACAGCAGGTGAGTCGTTGGACAGTGACGTTCAGTGGAGGGGTGGCCAGCGGTGAGTGACGGTATCGGTGGAGTATTCGGGTCTGGTATTCTGACCTATTGCGATGGTCTGGTGTTCAAGAGACTGTCATGTGACTGATTGGACTCGCTTAGTGTGACATCGAATAGAACAGCGTGTTCTGTGTTACGAACACGCGTCCGTTTAGTCTGCGTCCAGCCATGCAGCCTACCTTCATCAGCCGATAAACGCGTACTTTCTACTGTTTTGGAGTTTCCAAGTCTGACCCAGTTGTACTGTCTCGCAGTACCTATATTTAACATAAGCAATGAACAACGATACAAAGTAATAAACGTAACCGCAGCTCCGCTCGGCTCAAGCGTCAGCGGGCGACTCCCGCTCCGCGAGCCGGTCGTACCCGGGTCATGTCACCACCAGGCGTCAGCACTGGTCCTGTGACCTGACCTCATGTGACATTACGACACCACATTCTCCTCCCCTTAACAGGACAGAAACGATAGTCCTCTGTACGTCTCACTAACGATAGTCCTCAACACGTCTCACTGAACGATAGTCCTCTACACGTCTCACTCATCAAATCCGTAACGAACCGGACGTCGCACCTCGCGTCCGTACCGGGTTCTCAGCGTTGGCGACAGCGGCTGATCGGCGTGAGGTGCGGCCGGCTGCTCGGGCTGCGGCAGCTCGCTGTTCGTCTCAGCATGGCCGCGCTCAGTCTGCCTGCCATCGGCCGCCGTCTCGCCAGCTGCCTGCTGCTCCGGCTGGCTGTCGATCCGCTGCTGCGGCTGCTCGTCACGACTGTCGGTGACCGCTCCGCCGCCGCTGGTCAACCGGTCCGCGTGCACCCTCGTTCCGTCGTCGAGCACGTAACTCGCTGGTCCCCGTCGCTCGAGCACCTTCTTCCCGCGCGAGAACCGGGGCCTGCCCTTGCGCGACTGAGGCGGAAGACGATGCCGTACCCGGTCTCCGATCTCGAAGTCCGGCTTCTTCACTCGATGCGTTTTGTCGAAGTACCTCTTCTGATACGCCTGCTTCTTCTCCACCCGACTGTGCAGCTCTCCGGGTCTCTCGGGAAGCCGTCCACCGACGTCCACCGCCGCGCTGAGCTTGCCTCTCATCGGCCTGCCGTGAAGCAGCTCTGCAGGTGTGCGTCCGGTCGTCGCCTGCACCGTGCTCCGGTACGCGAACAGAAACGCCTGCAGACATTCAGCTCTGTCAGCCTTCTGCAGGTCAGCCGTCTGAAGTGCAGCCTTGATGGACTTGTTTGCTCTCTCCACCAGGCCGGATGACTGCGGATGATACGGTGAGATCAGCACATGAGTGACGCCCACACTTCGCAGATACGATGCAAATCGATCAGACGTGAACGCTGATCCACAGTCAGATACGACCTCCTTGGGATAGCCCTCACGACATGCCAACTTCTCGAGAAACTGAACAACAACTTCAGACGTGGGGTGCTCACAAAACCCTACTTCTATCCATTTTGAGTGATAGTCAATGGCCACAATCGCAAATCGCTGTCCAATTCGGCCACCCGCCATGGGACCAATAAAATCGAGGCCCAGCTTTGCCCATGGCTCGTCAGGGAACGGTACAGGCTGCAGCGGCGCGCACCTCGGTGACGCTGTCTTGTCTGCTAGCGAGCAGACACTGCAGTTTCTCACCTGTTCTTCCACCGCCCTGTCCATCCCTGGCCACCAGTAGAGGTCTCGTAGCCTCTATTTCGTCCGTACCATACCCTGGTGCCCCTCGTGGGCCAGCTCCACCAGCCTGGTACGGAGAGAAGTCGGTACCAGCACTCGTCCTCCTCGCAGGATGATGTCGTCGACGACGGCGAGCTCGTTCCTGCAGCGAAAGAACGGTTGCAGCTCTGGTACGCACTGACTGAAGCGTCGGGGCCACGCACGGGGTATCTGATCCCTCAGCTTACCGAGCACGGGGTCAGCTCTGGACTCCGCCTTCAGCTCGTCAGCGCTCACCGCCGCTGTCTCCTCACTGAGAGCGGCGACCACCAGCTGCTCGTCCTCGGACACCACCTCCACCGGTGCCGGCAGACGCGACAGGCCGTCTGCTGGGTTGATGCTGCCCTTGACGTGCTGTACCGAAAAAGAATACTCTATCAGACGGCACGCCCAGCGAGAAATCCGCATCCCCGCTCGGCCAACACCACGTGACGTCATCAGTGTTTTGAGAGCCTGGTGATCCGTTCTGAGTACAAATTCCCTGCCCCACAGGTATTTGTGCCACTTCTCCACTGACCAGACACAAGCCAGTGCCTCCCGCTCAGTCACGCTGTACTGACGCTGGGCCTGTGACAGTGTGCTGGACGCAAAAGCGACCACGCGCTCACCTTCAGGGTGCGTCTGAGTGAGTACCGCACCGATACCGACGTCACTGGCGTCCGTTGTCACCGTCGTTGGCAGACTCGGGTCGAACATCGCCAGTGCTGAGCTCGTCAGGATCGCCTCCTTCACGTCCTCGAAGGCAGACTGCATCTCGGCCGTCCACTTGAAGGGTGGTCGGCCGTCCACTTGAAGGGTGGTGCGCCCTTCCTCAGCGGCCGCCTGACATTACGACACCACACCAGTTTAGTTAACTGACGCTGCTCTGACCCGTTTCAGTTGGAGAGGAGTATCACCCGCTTCACTGACTTCTACAAGGCACAGCACAGCGGCCGGAAGCTCAACTGGCTCTACCACCTGTCCAAGGGCGAGCTGGTGACAAACTGCTTCAGGAACAGGTGAGGTTCAGCGCAGGCTGCTTTAACTGGGATGATATTGATATGTCCTCGGTAGAGCTGTCATTTTTCACGTTCGGTGTTCCACGGGCACAACATACAGTATCTGACCCATTGTGATATCAGTTGCCCTACCTAGTAACTCCCCTTCCAGTAACTTAGATTTCCTGCAGTGTCTGACCCTCTGTTACCTACCTCTGTATCTGTAGTGTCTGAAACTCCGTCCGACCGCTGTCCCGCAGTGTGTGACCCCCGTCCGCCCGCTGCCCTGCCGTGTCTGACCCAGCTCCGTCCGCTGTCCGTCCGCTGTCCGCAGGTACACACTGCAGGCGTCGACGTTCCAGATGGCTGTGCTGCTGCAGTTCAACACGGAGACCTCGTGGACGCTGCAGCAGCTGCACGACTTCACCTCCATCCCCATGGACATGCTCAAGCAGGTGAGACGGTGACAACCAAATGAATGAGCGGGACCGATCAATCAGGGGGTTTCTTCACTTTCTTCAGCTACCGCTTGTGTTTGTTTCGATGAACGCTTGGGTGACTATATAATATGCGACTTACGATTTGCCTACCGTTATTAGACTTACGACGAGGCTTCTTCTACCAGGATGCGTTTCTTGGCATTGCAATATATTTGCTAAAAGACGAAGCTCAAAGACTGGCCTGCTGCTGTCTGTTGGTGGAGCTTCAGCTACCTGTTGATGTTTTGGCTGACGTCTGTCTGTTTGCTCTGTCATCTGTGCGACACCCGTGTCTGACGCCCCGACCCGCCCCGGTCCGACAGCACATCGCCGTGGCTGGGGAGGGGGGAGACTATTTGATACTGGGATGTCTCTGACATCACCACCCGCTCCGGGTCCCACAGCATATCGCGGTGCTGCTGAAGGTGAAGCTGCTCAGCTGCGAGGACGCCCAGCTGGTCGAGTCGTCGGTCGTCAGCCTCTTCCTCAACTACAACAACAAGAAGCTGCGCGTCAACATCAACGTGCCGCTCAAGTCGGAACAGCGGGTGGAGCAGGTGCGGGACGCGTGCCGACCGCCGGGAGTCGGTCGACGCTGGTGGCTCAGTCGGATCTGGCGATGTAGAATCTAGCGAGCTAGGCTAGTGGACTGCAGAATATATTGAACATGGGCGCAAAATGGCGTCGTAGTCGGCGCGCCCCTTACCCTCAACAAACTAACAACAAACAAACAACGACTTGTTACGTACCAACTTTTGGTGATATGAAGCTGCTGTGTCACTTCTAACGAATTTTCGTTCCATTGCAGGAGAACACGCACAAAAATATCGAGGAGGACCGGAAGATCCTAATCCAGGCGGCCATCGTCCGCATCATGAAGATGCGGAAGGAGCTGAAGCACCAGCAGCTGGTTGGCGAGGTGCTCAACCAGCTGAGCACGCGCTTCAAGCCGCGCGTGCCCGCCATCAAGGTCAGTGTTTCGCTTTGAGGGTATTGTGTTCTCGTTTGGTGGGCGTGCCGCAGGGATGGCATGTAAGCATGCTTGCTGCTGGCTGTGTGGGCCAGTGGCAAGTTTTATTAGTTATCGGTTAATTATACATGCCTAATGTTCTGACAAATTTTTTATGAATCTTTTTTTTAAAATAAGATCTCGATAAGGCTGTCTAGTGTCTATTGTCTAAAGTGTCTATGCAGTGAGTATGAGAGTGACTTTGGCGGTGCGTTCGGTTCGTCTGTCTCTCGATCCCTCCCCGCTGACCGAGCCCCTCCGCCCGCGGCGTTCGGCAGAAGTCGATCGACATGCTCATAGAGAAGGAGTACCTGGAGCGTACGGACCAGAAGGACAGGTACCGGTACCTGGCCTGACGCGGCTCCGGGTCCGCCGCCTCCCGGAGGAGGGGAACTATGCCGCGGCGCGGCGCGACCGCCGTCTCTGCCGTGCCGGGGCGCGCCGCCGGTCCGCGCTGTGCCGCCGCCCCGCCCGCTGCCACCCGCCCGTCCGATGCCAGGGGGAGATGTTGGACGGCCAGCCGGGCGCGCCCCGGCGCCGACTCGGTCGCAGCCGCCGCCGCCGCTCGCGCCATGCGTCCAACGACAATATGTGAACGCGCGAGCGCCATTGTTTTCATGACGGCCTTTTACGAACGTAACGCTAGAACGTGAGACGGAACGAGTGGTCGTCGTGACTGTGCTTTCCATTCTCCTCCTCCCGCATCCAGTGTTCTGTGTGTGCGTGAAATGTGTGTAGATACATAACGTGTTTACGTGTAAAGGTTTATTCAATAAATGATGTCCACAAGAATCTTGTGTTGGGCGGTAAATGGGCCAGATTCATATACGAGGGAGTAGACATTAATGGATAGAAATTAGAAGGACGGCACTGTTGCTCATTGTCCACAAAGTGTTTGATGTCTGATCCTAATAAAAATACAGTTTGTGGCACGTAGTTACGATGATGCGATGCGAGGACGCAATATTCAGGTTTTAGATGCGAATTCTATAGGTCTATAGGTCATTTTAGGTCATTGTCGAATATCATCATTTTAAACCAAAGGTGGTTCGGATAGGATGAAAACAAATAAAAATTTACAGTAGAGTTGCTTTCAGTGGCGCGGGAACTTCTTCCAGACTGGGGGGGGGGGGGCTGAACCATCATAGAGATCAACCTAGGGTACCCCCAAATCTAGTTTTCTCATCGGTTTTAGGCCACTTATTTTTTCAGACCTTGGCCTTTTCAACGAAAAAGAAGAAGAAAATATTTGCAAAAAAGTGAGGTATTCCGTCTCAGCTGAGTGAAGAAACTACCGTTTTGGCAACCTGGAATAAAGGTTTTAACCCGCGCCCTGGTGGGTTGCTGGTGGGGTCTGTTTATAACGCGACCTGGTGGGGGGGGGGCTATTTTTTGCCCCCCCCCTCGTATCTCCGAAACTACTGGACGGATCCGCAAAATTCAAACGGCGTTCGATAGCCCTGTCAAATTTGTCGGGGGAAAACAAATTTCATTGACCTCGGGGTCACCGATGACGTCACAGGTCAGGTCAAAGATAAAATGTTTCACCGTTCACGGGTCTTCTAGGGAATGCGCTATAACACCGAAGAAAACGTATTTTGTCGAGAATCAGCGATAGGGCGTCAGTTGCCTAGTACATCTGTTGTTATAAGAGGTCACTGACAATACCAGGTCAGGTCACAGGTCAGGTCACCAAGGGTCACAGGTCAGGTCACATGAACCTAACTAGGTACTAAGGTTGTGCGATGCATGTTTTATGGCCAATTTTTCATTTCCAACTCAATGGTGTTGGTTATAAGACTATCAGGTACGGCTTAGGTCACTTTCTGGTGAAGGTCAGGTCAAGGTCAGGTCAAAAAAGGTCAAATTTAAAAGTTGATAGTTTTGCATAAAATGGATATTGATCCGATGCAGCTCGTCACGGGGAGTCTAATGGTGGTCTTTGTTTTGCGCTACGGGGTCTAGAATTGCTAAAAATTGAGTTTGAAAATTTGACGTCATCAATTTTGAACAGTTTTTTCGCTATAACTTCGCCAAAATAAGAGGTATCAATCTGAAATTTGGTATGTGGATAGAAGGCGGTAAGAAATATCACATATGTTCCGGTTTTTGCGAAATTCAAAAAACTTTTTGGATTTTTCGGCTATTATATTCAAAAAATCTATTTTTTGATTTTTGGGGGTCAAAATCCAAAAATTTCAAAAATCCGAGATAGCAGTTTTGTAGCCCTGTCAATTCTACAGCTTTTATGTCTAAATCGTTTTTCTGTATTTGTAAATTGCTGTTGTCCTGACAGCTCTTCCCGGGAAACCCTTTTTTGGGTCGAAAACGGCAGAACATGACGTCACTCTGACGTCATTTCCGGCCAACCTATCATAGCCTTTGGAAAAATTTTTGGTCACAATGTGTAAAATTGATGTCCGGGAGGGTACTGAAAGTTTGGTGACGATCGGCGCAGCGGTTCTGGAGATATATCGAAAAGTCTGGAGGGGGGGGGGGCGAAAAA